TCTCTTCATTCAGTCCTATCTTTATAATTTTTTTTACATTTATTTTTTATTTTTTTTTGTTTATAATTTTTCTTTCCATTTACATTGTTATAGTCACTTGGTGTATTGATTTCTGGCTGGATTGTATATTTTTAAAAAATTATATATTATTCAAGGATCCAAGACAGCTCCAAAGGACTCATGATGGAAAAGGCTGTCCACATCCAGAAAAAGAACTATGGAGTCTGAATGCAGATCAAAGTATATTATTTTCTCTCTCTTTTTTTTTTCTTTTTTTTGGTTTGTTTCTTCTTTCTCATGGTTCCTTCTATTGGTTCTAATTCTTTGCAACATGACTAATATGAAAATAGGTTCACTATGAATATAGTATATGTACAGCTGTATCAAATTGCATGCCATTTTGGGGTGGGGGGAGGAGAGAGATGGGGAGAAAATTTGGAACTCAAAATCTTATGGAAGTGAATGTTGAAAACTAAAAATAAATAAGTAAATATAAAAAATTATATCTGAACTCAGGTCCTCTTGACTCCAGAGCCAGTGCTCTATCCACTGCACCACCCAGCTACCTCCCCCCGCATATGCTTTCTCTTACTTTCCTTCCCCTAGTCGAAAGAGAATAAGATAAAACAAACTGCAAGCAAAATATGTCTTCTTTTTTTTGGGGGGGGGTGAGGCAATTGGGGTTAAGTGACTTGCCCAAGGTCACACAGCTAGTACGTTTCAAGTGTTTGGTCTGAGGCTGGATTTGAACTCAGGTCCTCCTGACTTCAGGGCCGGTGCAAAATATGTCTAAAAAATGAGTGTCTCATTCCTTTTCCTTCAGTCTTTTCCTTCTCTGTTCTCTCTCCTCCAGACCCTGGTCACGGGTCCTTTCCTTAGTCCACCCTGGATCTGTGACCCAGAACTGGCTAATGGACAATAAATTTTCCATTTGGCACCTGTTTCTGTACTGTTAGGAGTCTGAGATTTCATCTTGCTTTGGTGCATAGCTTCTCTTTGCTCTGGAGTGTTCAGCAAAATACCACTGCCGCATGCCTCCCCACAGCTGACCTCCCAGTGTCCACAGACACTGTATCTCCCTGTGCATCCGGGGTGGTGGGGTACTCAACGGTGACCTTATTGTAAACCTTAAAAATTAAGAAGTCAGCACTGGAAGAGTACTGAGATTGATGTTAGCAGAAAGCTAGATTGGAATCCTGGCTTCTGTTCTTTGCTATTTGACCCGGTGGCAAGGCCTTAACATTTTTGAACCTGTTATCTCCTTCCTAAAATAGGGATGGTAGTAACAACAACAGCAACAATAATACACTACCTGCTTCACAAGGTTGTTTTCAGGAAAGTTTTTGTAAAGCTTAAAAATCAGCACGTCAGCAAACGTTTAGCAAGTACTTAATATATACCTGACATCCTACTCATTGATGGAGGGATGCAAATACAGACATAAAGACAGTTCCTGCCCTCAGAAAACTTACCTTCTAAGGGGAGAGGACCACATACAAAAAGGAGTTGAAAAGAGGTTGAGGGTGAGAAATGCAAGAGACCCACACTGGAGTGTGGTGAAATCTGGAGAGTCAGAAGTAGAGCTGGCAAAGGAAAGGCTTTTCTTCTGAAAAGAGGTTCTGAGAGAAACTGGCCGATTGGAAGAGAGGGCCTCAGGGAAGGAAGGAGAGCAGGCCACAGGCACTGCCAGAGGGAAGGCACCTGAGGCATGGTCCTGAGTCAGAAGTAGGGAGGGGACAGGAAGACACCATATATTGATAAAGAAAAAGGATGCAGTGATATGTGTGAAAGATGGAAGAGTGATTTACTATTGAGTGGTGTGTGTGTATATATATATATATATATATATACATACATCCACACACACACATATGTACATGGCCTGTTTATTCCCTGGGGCTACTTCCAAAAAACCTTTGGTAATTGACTTTACTCTGAAATGACTGAACTTTACTACTAGCTGAGAACCACCATAACAAATGTGAGTGTACACGCAATCAGATATAGAGGGTGAGAGAAAAGTTACACAGGTGTGGATCAGAGTACAGATGGCTGAATTTTATGTTCCTTTTCCCTGGTCTAAACACTGCTAAAGAAAAGAACATGACCTTTGGGATTATACTTAGTTCTCATTTAGATAATCTCACAGAGATTTCTAAAGAAACATTGCTTTCTTGTTTGTCACTGATTTTATTTTGAGGATTTAGTTGTTTTTTTTTTTTTTAAGTTAGTGGTGAATATTTTTTTAGACATACCATGGAATCTTACTTATCTAAAGATTTTTCTCTCTTCCCTGGATAAAACCACTTGGACAAAGCTGAAGTTGGTGATCCTTGTTTCTCCCCTTCAAAACTTCTGCTAATTGAGAAAAGACCGTGAAAATAAATCATTCAGAGCAGAAACTCTTGATTGTAGCAGAATCATAGAAGTTTAGTATTATATGGTATTCACATATTTGTTATGCTTTCTCAGTACTCTAAGGTTTTTTTGTTTTGTTTTGTTTTTTACTCTTAAAAAGGTTTGGCCCCTTCCTCCCCCCATTATTATAGTAATGAAGGTCTGGGATAATATTTTATATACACACACACACAAACACACACATATATATACATTATATGTATATATACATACTGTGTATATGTGTGTACATATATCTTTAGGGTATATGAAATGGTGTATTTATCCCTTACCTCCATTACTATAATAATAGGCAGTGAAGGAAGAAACTTCAGTCCCTGGAAAATTAGGGAGTACTTCACAGGCAGGCTTCATTGTAAATCAAGGAAAATGCAGTAAGACAGGGAGATCATAGAAAGTTGAGAGTTAGTAAATTAGATCATTAGGCAAAGTAGAAATACTTCTCAGACTGAAGGCTAAGTCCCTATTCAACACACACAGGTTTAGGACACTGGAGGATACATGGTCTGTTCCTCTGTTAGCTCACCGTTTGCTTGTGCTGCTGGTTGGTGGAACATTGGAGATTGCTCAAATGAATGGGAAGCACTCGGAGCAGTGGATGGAGTTCTGGAATTGCAACAGGAAGGCCTGTTCAAATCCCACCTTAAACACTTTATAACTCCATGACTGTGACAGTGTCATTTAACCTGTCTGCCTCAGTTTCCTTATCTGTAAAATGAAGGTGTATAATGATTGATAACATCAGATTTTGGTTGTGCATATTCCTTGGGCTGTTTCTCAGTGCCACAGACTGATTCAAACTAGTTCTTTAACAAAAAGAGGTTTATTTACCTTCAATTTGGAGTTAAACTGAGTGAAGCCCCTTGGCCTCTGAGTTGTCAATGGTGATCTGCCAGTGAAGCCTAAGTGAGCGCTTACTACTCCTCATTGCATTTTTATGCACAGGTGACTTGGAAATAATGTTAATAGCCTGAGCTTTTAGTTCCTGAAACAATTAAGTCTCAAGGATGTTTTAAATGCCTTTTAAGGAAAAATTAGCCTAGCTTACATGGAGGTAGGGGAAGGAAGTGCTTTGGCTAATGGCTGTGTAAGTATAGCAAGTATTAGGTAAGAAATGGGACTTTGACCTGAAAAGAACATCAGTATAGTATAAGGGGGAAATCTGAGAGAGGAAAGGGATCTTTGCAGAGGAGATCAGATATTTGTACTTAAAGTAAGCTGTATAAGCAATGTAAGTGAGCTTTGATAAATACTTGTTGAATGACTGATGAACATTTAGTGCAGTTTTAAATGGGATGTAGTGGGGAGTTTTTCAGTTCAAAGAGAAGAAATGGTACTGGATACCTGTTCTGGAGGAATTATTCTATAATCTATCTTGGAAAAAAAAATCTAGGGCTAGGGAGTAGTGCTTTCATTAGTTTAGTGAACTCCCAGATGCAGAAACTGCCTCAGTCAATGCAGTTTGGCAATCTCTCTGTAACTTACAGTCCTAGAGAGTTGCCTTGAACACCAAGAGGTTCAGTAACTTACCAGGCTCACGTAGCCAATTGGTATAAGAAGAGGTGGAAGACTGAACCACAGGTCTGTTGGTTTTGAGACTACCTCTTTCTGCCATGCCAGATTGTATCTCAATTGAAAATACCAGATTTAAATCTCATTTCCTTTCTTGACCAAGTAAGTCAACTGAGAGATTAGGGGAATGTTATTGATACATAACATCAGCATTTCCGCAAGTCATTTGACATAGTCTCACGATATCCTTCTCCACAAAAATGGAGAGATATGGGCTAGTGTTATGGCTCTGTTAGGTAGATTTGGTTGAGTGACCAAACCCAAAGAGTGGTGATTAATGAATGCTGTCAGGTTTCTAACAGAGTGCCTGCAGGAATCTGTCCTTTGTCTTATTTATCATTGATTTGAATAAAGGAGGGCATGCTTGTCAGAATCAGGGTTCAAAAAGATTTTACAGGCTAAGATAACTAAATGAATCTAAGCTAAAAAAAATTAATAGGGATAAAAGTAAATGAAACCCTATAATCAAGTTTTAGAAATGGGGAGTTTTATATACTACTGTCGGGCCTCGAGGTGGTACATTTGAATGCCAGCCTACAGTCAGAAGACTAATCCTCGAGTTCAAATCTGGCCCCAGGCACTTACTAGCTGTGTGACCCCAGGCAAGTCACTTAACCCTGTTTACCTTAGCTTTCTCATCTGTAAAATAAGCTGCTGTAGGAAATGGCAAACCACTCCAGTATCTTTACCAAGAATACCCCAAACAGAGTCCTGACTGAAGTGACTAAACAACAACCACAGTATACGCTGTACCACACATCAATAGTGAGGTTAGGGGTTTCTTCTTACTGCTCAGTGAAATACTATTATCTTGCGTCTTAGAGTACCTCAAAAAGCATAGTAAATTGAGATCCTCCCTTCCTTCCTTTTCCATCTCTTTTAATTGTATAGAAATAAGTGACCAGTGATTATCTCTCATTAATTAAAATAAAAGTTTTTGACAATAATGTTTTTGTAGTCTACAGAAGTTTTAATGCTTGTGGTTTGCTTTTTTTTTTTTTTTTTTTTAGAACACAAAGTAATAATAGTGGGATTGGATAATGCAGGGAAAACCACCATTCTCTATCAATTGTAAGTATGGCTATTCAAACTGTTTTAATTGTATATTTTTTTGTATAAACAATAAAAATTGAGATACCTGTTATACAATTTAAAACAAATGTCAAACTAGGTTAAAATGTAATTGGGAAATGTTTAACAATAAATAAAAATATAGTACACCATTGATAATGTTAATTTGTGCTCATCTAAGTCAATGTGCAGCCCTCCATTTCTATTTAAATTTGACACTACTGATCTAAAATATTTGAAAAGATGTCATTGCATATAGACTTTATTTTGCCAGATCTGAAATATCTCAAAAGCATGAAATAAATCAGAGCCTTTTTGCCCTTGAGGATTCTTGTTCCTTTTTGAGGTTTGTAAAAATAGTGTAAAACTGATGAAGCATACAGCTGTGTATCTCAGGGAATGTCTGACACAAAGTACTGGCTCAAAGTAAAAAGTAGATAACTCCTCACATTTCTATAGTATTTTGTGATCCTCCTAGCAGTCTTGTGAGGTTCATAGGTGTAGTAGCCAGGCTACCCCCCCACCATAGGTGGAAAGCATCATTAAAGTAAGTACTTAAAACTTTCTAACTGATTATGGCTCTTATGACATAGGAATATTTACTGAAGAGAGATTCAGATCAGGATCACTCTTGCTTATAAAGTAGAGGTTGAAAATGTTTCAGTGGATGAATTTTTATACTTAATCTTGAAGGAATTGGAACACTCCATCAAATCCATTTCTCAAAATAACCTCCATTTTCCTTTCACTGTCAATGAAATAGTAATCCTTGTGAAATTAATTACTGTGTTTCATGTTGTAGGCATTTAACAAATAGATGTCATGTATTAGTGTGGATCTGCCAACTTTGCCTTCTTAGCTCCTCCATCGTCATCAGTTCACTGTCAGCCTGACCATTTAAATCTCCCTTCACTTGTCCTCTAAAACAGTTTTCAGAGTTGTAGAATTTCAGTGCTACAAGGAACTTTAGTGATCATCAGATTCAGCCTCCTCATTTTATAATGTTGCACAATGAAGCCCAGCATTTTGAAGATTTTTGTCCAAGGGGATACAGTTCACAATAGTGGCAGGGCAAGAACTAAAGTCTAGAATACCTGCCTTCGTGTCAGGGCCTGCATCTGACTGCCCTTCATTGTAACATGCTTCTTGAGCTACATTTTTGCTGAAAGCAGCTTATGGATAGCACTTAATAGGGAATAATTATTCTAAAGTAAATGATTTCTTAGTCTTCAGGTATTTTAATGTAATAATCTAAACTTTTTAAAAGTCTTTATTATTGTTGAAACTTTGAAATAAGTTTGAAGAGATGTAGAAAACTCAGGAGTTCTACTTGCCCTACCTGATGCTTACTAATCATTGATCATGTAGTTGTGACATAGGGAAAATCAAATAACCTTAAAGAAACATAGTATTGTAATTAATATTTTAAAAGATTGATCAAGGACTGTACCCTAAACTTTGAGGAGTAGCTCATTGACCCACATTAAAGTAATTTTCAAAATAACAAACCTGTTGTATGCCTCTGACCAAAAAGCTTTACTAAATAGCTTGTATCTCTCTCTTCCCATAGCTTAATGAATGAAGTGGTCCATACCTCTCCAACTATAGGAAGCAATGTTGAGGAAATAGTTGTGAAGAACACCCATTTTCTTATGTGGGATATTGGTGGTCAAGAGTCGCTGCGGTCATCATGGAATACTTATTACTCTAACACAGAGGTATATTAAAAAGTCACACCACACAAAATAGCAAACCCAAATATTTGACAGACTAGACAATAATGTAGGTTTAGAGGATCCTCATATCCAAGCACCAAATATTCTTTTTCTTTTTTCAAGGCAATTGGGGTTAAGTGACTTGCCCAGGGTCACACAACTAGTAAGTATCAGGTGTTTGGTCTGAGGCTGGATTTGAACTCAGATCCTCCTGACTTCAGGGCCAGTGCTTTATCACCTAGCAGTGCACTACCTAGCTGCCTCCTATTTTTCTTTTTCTTTTTCATTGCCTCTCAGATTCAAGCCTTTCTTTCCATTCTTGTTAATACCTTACCAGGCTTTCTTCACATCACACTATACTTACTGCTGTTGCTTTCTAGTTCATAGACTCATGGAATGTTAGGGTTGGAAGGTAGCTGATGTTTAAGGCCCTTTTAAATAAATACATTTGGGGTCAGCTCGAAGACTTAGAGACATAAAGGACATTATTAATAAAAATTAAATAGTAGTGAAAGTCCACTTTAGTGCCTAATTGTAGTGTGGGAAATAAGTATTTCCGTTTTCCAGGTTGTTCATTTGTAATTAGGCTTAGAATTTTATTAGGTGGGGTAATGAGTTGGCTCTTTAAGACTAAGTGCACTGTTGTCACCCATAGTATTTTCCTATATAAAGAAGGAACTGTAACTAGAGATCTTTCAAAGTGAAGTCAAGAATATTTATATTAGTTCCTTTTTTGTGCTAAGGCCTTTTCTTAACAATACATGTATTTACTACAAAATGTATGTGTATTCATACTGAGAGGGAACTAAGCAAAAGCCTTAACTACAGGGTGGCTTAATTTCTATTTCTACTGTCAAGTGAAATTTTGACACACTGGCAGATGTTGTAAAGGGAGTAGGAGAAGAACAAAAGTTTTTGGAATATAACACTGTTTAAAAAGCTCAGCAGCTGGTGCTTTTATCCAGAGCACAAAAGTATCTCCAGCTGGGAAGAGAACACAGTGCAGTCATAAAGGTGCCTTTGATGAATAGGTCAAAGTTGACTACAGCTGATCAGTGTTGTGTTAAGAAAGCCATCAAAGCGTTTCAAAGGGTAATTTTTGAAATTGCTGAAGCTCTGAAAGATTTTTGAATGTAGTGTGTATTCAGCTCTCAGACATAGAGATTGTTTGTTACTATGTCACCTCCTGTCACAGAGGGCTTTTTAAATGGGTAATATGTGTCTACAGATGTCAAGAATATTAAAGATAATTCACTCCAACACATATCTTGACCTTTATTGCCAACACATTAACATAATATACAAAATCTTTATGACCCTGAGTTTGGCTTATCTCCTAGTGCTTTCAGTAGTCCCCAAATACTCTCTGTATACTTGTATGTCAGCCATTCCTCCTTTTACATTGACGTGTCATCCAGTGTCTCTATTTGTCTTTTGTTAAAATAATATTTATCTAGAATAATAATGATAACAACTGCTAATTTTATTATTATTGGAGAGATTTTTTATATGACTTAATGAATTATCTGATTCCTCCTTTGTCCCTTATATAAATTCAGACACTAAATATCATTTTTCCTTTCCTTCTTAGATTGAATTCTCACTTTTTCCATTCTCATTGTTAAACACGTTATTCTAAGCTTTCATCACATCACACTGTAGTTGCCTTCTAGCTCATAAACTTGTGGAATGTTATAATTGGACATTAGACATCACTTTCTCCAGCTCCATCATTTCATAAATGAGGAAAGTGAGGCCGAGAGAAGGCTAATTGACTTGCCTGAAATCACAAAATTTTCTAGTGGCAAAACTGGAAATCGAGGTTTCTTGGCTGGTATATTTTCTATTGTCAGACTGTTCTCTTTCCTGCTTTTTATCTTAATTGAGACCATTCTGGTTGAAATTGCCATCTTCCTACAACACTATTTTCCTTATTACTCCTTTTTTTTAATGGTTTTTTTTTTTTTGGCTAGGCAGTGAGGTTAAATGACTTGTTCAGAGTCACAAAGCTAATGAGTATTATGTGTCTGAGGTCAGATTTGAACTCAGGTCCTCCTGACTTCCGGACCCGTGCTCTATCTACTGTGCCACCTAGCTGCCCTTCCTACTCCTTTTTGTTTTTAAAGAACTTACAGTGGCTTTCTCTTATTTATCATATTAGATTTAAATTCCTTTGCCTAGCTTTCAGGGTTAAGTTATTTAACCTAATTCATCATCATGTACCTCCAGTTTCAAAGAATGGTATTCCTCTTTTTCTGTACCTAAATAAAAACTTTCCATTCTTTAATGTCTTAATTCAAGACCTGCCTTGCCTTTAAATCTTCCCTGCCTGTTCTGACTCACATAGAAAAGTAGTAAGGGTAGTGGAAGGAGCCCTAGATGAAGAAACCTGAGTTTAGATTCTGTCTTTGACACTCAATTAGCTGTGTGACAATGAGCAAATGACTTAATTTCTTTGAACCTCAATTCCTCACCTATAAATGGGATAGTAATAGCTAGAGTCTCTACTTCATAGAGTTGTTGAGACAGTCAAATTCCTTATGAATTTCTTACTCTCCTCATTTCATTAATGCTATTAAGCACTTTAATAGCCATAACCAATTTCCTTTATTTTGTTTTACTAAATTCTTACCTCTTCTTGCCATCTGTTGTCTTTAGCTGGGTTTTTTGTCCTTCATCTTTATCTCTTTGTCCTTAGGTGCTTTTCAAGTCTTTCTCTTTTTCTTTGATGTTTGTGGAGGATAGGGGTAGTATTGAGAAAGTATAGTCTAAGAGATAGAGAGCTGACCTCAATATTAAGAAGATCTGGGTTTTGTGACCCGGGGCGAAGATATTTAACCTGTGCTCCAGATGACACTGTAAGGTCATTGTAGAATAGTTGTTCATCTGCCTGGGAGTTGCCTAATGTGGAGGAAACAAATGAAGTTGCAGATTTAGATGAGAGGAAAAAAGATTATGCAATAATCCCACATTTATATAGTACTTACAGTATCTACAGAGACCTTTCTGTACAGTAGCCCTGTGATATATCAGGTGTATTAAAGAATTGTTACTCTTTATTGGAAAACTAATTCTACTTTCCTTAGGTATATTAACACATGAGGCTCCTCAAAACTTTATCATTTTTTCAGTTAGTTGATAACATTTTTAAAATGAGAATGTCATATAAAACATCTCAAAAATGAAATTTGGTGATGCTATATTTTATAACTATCTGATAGTTTTAGAAAGAAGAAAATTGTTAAGATTTATCTGTTACCATCTCATAGAAAGATATTATGACATAGGATCAAACAAGAAAATCCCAATACTTAAGGAATTGAGAAACCTGAAAGTCATACAAATAAATTTTCTCAAGTCTTTGTTAAAAAAATATATTTAAATATTTAAATACATTTTATAAATTCTAAGTAATCTTTTGTGATAAGGCTAATTAATAATAACTATAATAATGGTGATATACTATATGAAAATAATATTTCTATTACTTGATAATAGATTTGGAGAAATTTTTTAATATATCACAGTTCTAACCTTGAGTTATAGAAATAATAATGTAGTTATCGGATACGTCTGTCTGTGAATGCATAAGTTCACTCTAACATGTACTTTCATTCCCAAAGTCCTAGTGTGATTTTATAAAGTTGATTGAAAATCTCATTCAGTGTGTTAAACCAATGGTAAATCTTGCGAGCTTTTTATTTAAATACAAGGAAAAATGCTAGTGGTTAGATGTGTGTCTGTGTGTGTGTGTGAGTGATTTTCGAACATTTGTCATATGTTATGTAAGTGATAAACTTTAAATTTCTTTCTAGTTCATCATTCTGGTTGTTGATAGCATTGACAGAGAACGACTGGCTATTACTAGAGAAGAGCTATATAGAATGCTGGCTCATGAGGTAAAAAGTAACTTTTTTTTTTGACCTCATGTAGGAGTCACATAGAACACTGTCTTTTTTCCATTGATTTTGCTGGATAATTATGTTTTGGTTAGCATGATGTGATATTGCTTGGTAATTGTGCACCTCAAAGTAACAGATTAATCACTATGATTAATTGAGAAACAAATAATCGGTTAATTTATAAAAAAGCAGGTTAATTTATAGATATCCAATAAATGATTTTTATATTTTAATTGACTTTTCATATTCTTCTCTTTTAATGTCGTCCTTCTCCAGTGTTACATACTGGCGTGGATAGCACCCTGAATTTTCAAAGACTGTTAATAATAACATTATGTTAAAAGTTCCAACAGGTCCAACTTCAAGTAAGGACCCAGTAGTGAACTCTGTTTTTGTCTGAGGACCAAAGTAGGCTAAGTTTGGAGAGTCTCATTCCAGAAGGTTAACCACTGGATAATGAATGTTTTTGGCTGTGACAATACAGTCTACTACCCTTAAGGTAGTAGAGAAGTTATAATCTATTTTGGTGAGAGTAATTACTTCCACTGATGAAACGGATAAATCTTAAAGTGTTTCTTTTGTTATGGAAAATGTTACAAGCATATTTAATATAATCAGCTGCTTTATGGTTGAGAATTTTATTGTGTCTCCAAGTTAGTTTGTATTCTTTATCAGTCAGTATTTGCACACAGTGAAATAAATAGATTATGTATTTCTTTCTCAGTAAGGCAGTATTCTAAGGTATATGATTAAAACCAGAATTGTATGCTATTTAGAAAGAAATAGCTTTTGAACTGATTTTTTTAAATTTCAAAGGAATTTGTGAAATGTTTGACTACGTATTAAGAGTAGAATATTAATTCCAGTGGAAGTAATTACTCTTATGTTTAATGTTGTCTTTGAACTTTGACACATTAAAAGATTAAACATATGTAAATGAATTTAATGCATTGTCTACCCATTATTAACTCAGAACATCTTTAAAAAGAGTGGCCATTTGGTGAAACTTATTTTGCTATAATAAGTTTAAAAAAATCAAATGTTAACTACCTGATAATTTCAAAATAGAATAATTTCTTTATAATTGAAAAGATACTCTGTATTACTTTGTCTTTCTCCCAGTATCTTGCGCAGTACTCTGCACACATAGGAGCTTATTAATAAATACTTATCATATCCTATATCAGTTCTTAGATTTTCTTAATTGTTACATGTCAAATATCAGAAATATTTTTATTGTAGGATTTACGGAAGGCTGCTGTTCTCATCTTTGCAAATAAGCAAGATATGAAGGGGTGTATGACGGCAGCTGAAATCTCTAAATACCTCACCCTTAGTTCTATTAAGGATCATCCATGGCATATTCAGTCTTGCTGTGCTTTAACAGGAGAAGGGTAAGCACTACTGCTTTGTAAAGAGACCTGACTAGATGATATTACTATTTTAATTTCTCATTTCTTAAACTTTCAGGTCATTCTGTTGATCTTACTCCTTTTATTTCTCTTTGTATGCAGGTTATTTTTATATTCTTTCTCAAATATTTTCATTTAACAATTTAATGAGGGTGTTTTTTGTAGTTCTTGCCATAAATATTCCCATCTTTAAAAAAATCTATTTTTAGGTATATCAGTGAAGCAAGTTTGAAACAGTTCTCATCTGTATAGTTAACATTTCATATCATAAAGTCTTGTCTGCTGTCCAAGTCATTCTTAAATTAATAATAATACCATTCTAGGTCAATATTTTATTCGTAATTGACAAATATATATCTTTAAAGTTTATAAAGTTTATAAATATTTTATTCATAATTGACAAATATATATCTTTCAAGTTTATAAAGCATGTTACATAGATTACTCCATTTGAGCCTCCTAGGAGCTCTATGAAGTAGGTGCTATAGGTATTAACTCCATTTTACACATCAGGAAACCATGGCTTAGACAGGTTTACTGACTTGCTGACCTCTTAACACGTGAGTTATATGTTAGTTTTTGCTTCTGTTATTTAATTTGTATCATTTTTATTCTGGAAGAAAATGATGGAGAGAGTGTCATATCAGTGTGGTTTCCTGTGGATTCTTCAGGCTGGATGTAGCCTAAGATTGAGCATTCCTTATTCTTTCAGATCCACTTTATACTGTACTCTTGAGTCACTTCCTTAGGGAGGAGGAGCAGTATGAGTTACTGTGTGTGTCTGTTTATTTTGGATGAACTTTCCTAGAGGTAGGCTGGTTTTGTAAAAAGAGTGCTGGAGCATCTTCCTGCTGGAGCAGGAGGAGAGCAGATGAAACCTAGGTCCCAGTTGTGGCTCTGCTGCTGTCAGTCTAACATGGTACCTCTCTGGGGTTTTTATTTCCTTATCTGCCAGATAAAAGGATTGAATTAGATGGTCTCTAAAGTCCCTTCTAGTTCTAAAATCCTCTGGTTTTTAATTATCTTTAAAACTGGCTTTGGAATAGAGGAATTATAATAATGAAACCAGCAGACTTCATAGTTACATTAGTAATAATATTATTAACTGACAAAATACTTGACATCATTAAAAACTGTTTTCACAATGCCTTATCATCCTCCTTCCATAGGGACCTGTCCTTGATGAAGTATAGTTATCCTAGTGAGTTTGGTGGTACTGGTATGGTATGGAGCAGTCAATTTCAAGTCCTTTCCAACCCAGAGGGCCCACCGGAAGCCATATCAGTCCCCCAGAGTAACCTCATTTCTTCCAAACTGGAATTGGAAATGAGCTGAGACCCTTCTGAGCTTAGCTAAAACTACATCTTTTAGACTATGCCGTAAGCATTATTAAATTTCTCAGTCTCAGTTGCTTATACATCTTTCTTTTTTTGGTGGAGTGTGGCCTCTGATTTACTCCACCAATAAGGATCTATACCAGTTCTGCACCTTATAGTTTTAGAGTTGCCCACAAGTCCCTCATATTACCTTAAATATTAGAGGCGGCTGTCATCACTGTGGGTAAAAGCAATAGACATGGAGTCAGGGAGACCTAAGTTCAAATCTTACCTCAGATAATAGTTGTCTGACTCAGCACATACTACTTAAATCTCTTCTAGCCTCAGTTTCCTCATTTGCAAAATGGGGATAATAGCACCTGTCTCATAGAGTTGTCATGAGGATCAAATGAAATGTGTAAAGTTCTTTACAGACTTTAAAGCACTATATAAATGCTAGCTCTTACTGTTATCATTACTGTAGATAACAAGACAAGAATAGTATTAATAGTTTAAACGGAGACTCAGAAGTTACGTGATTTGCCTATGGTTGAACAAACAATAAGTATTAGGCCAATGTCAGAGCTAGCACTGCTGACTTTTCTATTTGCTATAACTAATAGATTTGAACTTGTTGAGAAAGCCATTCAGCAGGCTATTCTATCTTCTATTTTTGAAGATGAAACTGAAGGAAATTTCTCACAAGTTGAATTAATAAAATCACATGATTTTGTTGAAGTGAATCTTGCGCTCTGATATTCTTTTTTTTTTTTTTTTTTAACATTTCTTACACATGAATGTCAAAGTGTTCTAATATGGCTATAGTATCAATGTTGGATTAAAAACTGTTAAAAAAAATCAGCTCAGTTTTTAAGTAAAAAGCTTTATTTTTCAAAGTAGTTGCATTGTTATCTCTGGTTGTTTTCAGGTTATGCCAAGGCCTAGAATGGATGACTTCCCGAATTGGTGTGAGCTAACTTTATGTTCAAGAAGGACTGCTTCTATTTATTCTGTGGACATGAACATATTTCCTGGTACTTTTGGCTGCTTAGGCAGCGGCATGTTTAATTTATAACAACACAAACCTCTATGAGCAACACTTGAATCAAGTGCAGCCGAACTGGAACATAAGATTTTTCTTAACATTTTAAAAATGCACTAATCCTCAGTTGGATGAACGTAATGTGTCTGTGTTTCAGCAACAGAGTTCTCCTGACTACTTATCCTAATGCATTCGAGGATGGCCTTGCCAGAAACATTTGTCATAATGTTTTATACTTTCTGTAACATTGAAAACATACTATTTATCTGAACCTAACATGCCCAGTTCTTTTCATTTATTAATTTTTAGGCAAATGTTGATCTGGAAGAGCACTAGAAATCACAGACTAATGTTTGCATATTTTGGGGGGGGTCTGAAGATTATCTCCTTTTCTATATTATCCATCCTTTGTGCACAGAATTTTAACCCAATGAAAAATGTGTATGAGTGATATCTGGAATCCTAAGAGTTGTGACAGTTTACCTACCAATGGGTAAATATCCTCACCTCAATGCATGTCATAGAAGAATTTGTTCAATTCTTAGTATGACTTTTTAAGGTTTCATGTTCCTTATTCTTGGCCTATAGAATTATTATTAATTTTCTATGTGTATGACTTGGGGAAAGGGTATATATATGATCTTACAGTTGGCCAAAAAACTGAATCAGGATGAAAGATTATTTGAGAGTGAAGGTTTGATACAAAGTTTGGCAGCTCTTTCTGACATTGCATGTATAAATGCCACATTAATTAGTACACATTTATATAGGAAGTCATGAAAGCATACCAGCACTAAATTAAAACAGATCACTTTAAAACATGTTTTACTATCAGAGACAGCCATATAAACAGCAACATTTTCAAGTGTTCAGTGTACAAAGAGCAACAACACAGCTCTAAGTTGTATAATCTGGGCAATATTATAGCCTAAGTGAATAAATAGGCCATTTCATAATTGATCATATATAAAGTATGTATGTCTACAATAATATGTCTACCACCAGCAGTACATTACATGGAAAGTATATGGCTTTTAAAAAACCTATTTTGAGGTTTTTATTAAAATAGGTTTGAAACAATTGCCATGTGGGTAGTTGGCCTTCATATTCTAAAGCCTTATTTTCTACTATCCAAATTCCAGGCAGCTGCTGAAATTAATGCAAGTGTTCATCAGATTGCTTTTAGATACACAGTTAACATGATAACATTTATTAATCACATAATGTTTAAAAAAAGGAAAAAAGTAACACCCCATCAGTTGTCTGGTTTACTAAAGAGTGATAAAAATGAAAAGTTTTCAAGAAGTAGGTATGAAAATGTTTTGAAAATGACACCAAAACACTAAGTTGAGGAGGGAGAATATAGAATTTCAGTGTTACTTTTTTCAAGTTATTTTTGCTCAACTAAAAAAGGCCAAAATACATACTTTTATTATTAAAGAACACCACTTTAATTCATCAGTATTTAATTTGTTTGGGTAAAAAAGATTCAGTATTCATAAGAATATTAGGGTGGATATTCAAAACTGATCTCTTAAATTTGAAATCCTTAAATTTAAAATTTAAGCCAGTTATCCTTTTTTATTGTTTTCAGTTGTCATGACTTTCTTGTACTTAAACTGTATTTAGTAATGCTTTATTGATTTCCATTTGGTGACAGCATACACCAGAACTGAAAATGTTCAATGTGAAGGTTTTCACCCTTTAGGAATCAATTTTTATTTTCATCTAATGTCTAATTTTCTAATTTGTGTGTTTTGAACCTTTTTCTTAGAATTTTATGCTTAGTAGTGGGAAAAATGATTTTTAGGATAATCAAAACCATAAGAGGGAAGGAAAAGCAAACAAATTGATATGCATGCTTATGGGGTGAAATTGTAAATACCATTTCAGCAAAAGCACACCATGCCTGTGGTTTTTTTTTCCTACTTTGGTTACAATATTTATCTAAGTAAACAGTGGGAAAAGAAGTTTTTTTTCTTAAACTTTACAGCATATTCAGTACACCTATATCTATTCTTAAATGAAAAGTTGGTATACTTATTGCCTAAGAGATAATTGGCTGGCTTAACTTTCTGTCAAACTGTAAGATTTAAAATTTTATCAGCTTTACATTGAAATGTTTGAAATAGTTTATTATATTTTGGTGAGCATCTGCCCATACTGAGTTGTCATTTTTTTAGAAATACAATATGGCTTTTATTTTCTAGGTTCTATTTTAAAATGTTGTTTGCGGCTGGAAATTGTTTCATGTTAATGGGGTATTGAAAATGACAATTCTGTTAAGATTCTGTGTCAACCTTTGGCAAAAGTTCAACTTTGAAATTCATTCAAAACTTTACAGAGTTAAAATCTAAATTAGATATTTTATTTCACAGTAATGTAAAATTTAGTTATCCTTTACTCCAAGAGAATGTTTTGGCACAAAACTGTAGTAAGCATACCATTCACTGTAATTCATCATTAGTCTCCAGCATTTTATTATGAACCGGTGTAATAGGAAGGATGTGTCTTCATAATTGCTTAGTGCCTTGACTCATATTTTAGTCAAATTATATTTTCAAAGAAAAACAGATTTAAAGATTGATGACCACATTATGCTTTTTAGAGGTTGTACAGAGAAAAAAATTTTTTGCAGTTAGCTTAACTCCCTTTAATCTAATAAATGAACTGATTTGAGTTTTACATTCCTTTAGTACTCTTCCTGTATTACTCTAATGACACTTCTTACAAGCAGTGGAAAAGGGAATTGAGAGTCTCACAAAATCCATGAAAGCATGTTTAGTTTACTTATATTTTGTTTTCAGGTAGAGGATGAAGAAATAAATACTTGACCATGGATTCATATATGCTGTTATAAATGATAATTAAACTTCCTTCCTTATACATTTGAAGACTGGTTAGGAGTAGGGATTTTTTTTTTTTGAAAATCATATTTTCTATCTTAAAACCTACAATTCCTTAACAAAGGAAGGTCATATGAGGAGTCTTAGCAATTAACTACCACTCTGACTGGTGGAAAAGTATTTTTGACCCCTTTGTAGTCATAAGGCATAGTTTGCATTCCAAAATGTAACATAACTCCTTTTATATCCAAAATTAAAACACTTTTTAATAATATCTACATAATAATTTTGACTTCTTGAATTGATTGTGACTAGTGTAATAATAATTTTCTTTTCATGTTCGTTTGTGAGAAGGTAAGATTAGTGAGAATGATCTTCCTATGCATTGAATGTTCTTGTGAGAATCAAAGACTACTGGTCCCCTGTGATTCACTACATTACTGAAAGTATCTTGAAAACATTGACCTTGGCTCATAGCCTTTTTAGTTGAACAGCATAATACATTTTTCTGAACCTGTAATGCAAAGAGAAAATGGTTTGTTTCCTGTGGAAACAGAGCCTTGTACGAAATAGCTTTAGGCTCTTAGACTGTTGATGAGAACAATACAACCTTTTTGGATCATACACAGGAATTTCAGTGAGTTCTGTTCTTTTGAAATGAGGATCCTAATATGAAGTACACAAAAGTCACTAATGGTGATTTCTAGGCAGTTTTTGAATGTTTTTAGAGGTTAATTTAACAGTGTCCTCATCTAACTCTTGACTGTATGTGAAGTGTGTATGTAGTAGGAAAAACTGGGCTCATGCCTGTGAGTAGTTACGTTCATTGGCATTTACCTTGTGAAACATGACTCCATGAGGCTGAGTTGCACAGTATATCTAGAAATGTTCAAATTTTAGCCTTAATTTTTATCCACTTTTAAAGTGCCCTTTAAAATCTTCTCAGAGGCAAGAATATTTACATGTTTACTTTAAGATGCAGATGTCTTTTAAGACCAGATACTGATATAGTGGGGAGAAAATGTGACATGAAATGGCAACTGGCTTCTCTGCTGATTTATTCAAAGGCCCTTGTCCTTTGATCTCATTTGGGATTTGCCTATAGTAGATGAAGCAAACATGAAATAATCAGTTGATATCCACTGTATAATGTGCATGCAAAAAATTTTTGTTGCAGCTTAACAAAATCATCTTGTTGAAAAAAGATTTCAAAATTGTTTGTAAAGCAGCAATATTATTTGCGAGCGCTGTGCAGAAATTTAATTTTTCGTGAATGTTTCCTTGTACTTTTGGCTTTGTGGAATGTGGATGCTAGCCCTAAAAGCCATTTTGTTTGGCTGTTGCCAGCTTATAAGAACTTCAGCATAGGTGTAAAACCAGCATTTTAAATTTGAGATTATGTCTTACACTGATGGTATTTCATATTTAGAAGTTACCCTAATGGTGTCCTTCTCGTCTCCATCTCCACATCGTTATGAAGGCTTGCCCCTTTTTATGCTTGCATGCTTGTTTTAAGCACCTAATGTTTTCAAAGGTAGTATTCTCTTAGAGCACTCAGGACTATGAATTAGTTACATAGGGCCAGACTGAAGAGCGTAATAACAACTGTTAAAGTATTCAAAGTAAAAATAATGTTAAACAGAAATAGAAACAACTGTCTAAGCATATGGCAAGGTATAAAATGCTAAGTAGATATTTGGAGATTTAAAGTAAACTATCTGGAAACTCAGATCAAATCATATTAACAAGGACACTTTTAAGCAGAATACAAAGGTAAAGAAAGATCATAGAAGGATCAAGGGTGTGTTAGAAAATTTTTTTTCATGGAAGTAATGAATCCCTTGTGAGGCACTTAAAATTACTGAGAAGCACAATCTCTTAGTTCAGGACAAAGTAACCCTAAAATGTCTTCCCCCCCCCCCCCGCATATTTCTGCGTGGCAACATGACAGTAAAAAGCAAGTGTTTAAGGATTTAGAAGCATAGTCACATCAAGGGGCGTCCTGTGCATTTTTGTCGGAAAGTCACATGCTTGTCTAATAAATGTAGACTGAAATAGTGTTCTCTGCTCATCTCTTGAAATAGAACATGTGTTTTGGTGGCAAATGGAAGTCACAAGAATTTTTATTGTATGATCTTGTAGGGTTTTGAATCGTAAATTTACCTCATTAATCACCAAATGGTGCTTTGATCAAGTTGTGGCATATCATGATGTGAATTTTGTGATGTTTGTTTTTAAAACTGTATTTGAAACAGTATAACTTTTAAATTAAGGAGATCATACCTTTTTTAAAAAAAATTGCCTGTGCAAGTAGCAAAGTTTTACATATAGGTCAATTTTTAGATAAATTAAGACAGGAAGTACTCAATGATATTTAGTGAATTGTTTTGTTTTTGTTTTTGGGTTTTTTTAAGTGAGGCAATTGGGGTTAAGTGACTTGCCCAAGGTCACACAGCTAGTATATGTCAAGTGTTTGGTCTGAGGCTGGTTTTGAACTCAGGTCCTCCTGACTTCAGGGCTGGTGCTCTATTCACTGCGCCATCTAGCTGCCCCATATTTAGTGAATTGAATGAACAAATTTCAAGGATAAGACAAATTATAAAGCTTGGTTCATTTCATATTATTATGTATTTTCCCCATGTTTGTGAGGAGGTGTCAAATGAGTATCAGTTTAACTCCATTCCTATAAAGCTCATTTGTTTATTTCAGTTCTTTAAAAAAAATTTTCATTTATCTATAGCTACTCTTAAATGCAGGGAATATGAATCCCCCTGATATGTTCTCTTGGAGTAAACTGTTCAGTCCAGGTATAGTGACTGGGTTTTTTATTTGATAAAAATATTTAACTGCTGCTATTTCATTCAAAGGATAAACAATTATGGTTATGATTTTTAACCTTATATAGTAGCTAAGATAGAATTTTCCATTTGCAACCATTTCGTGCAGCATTTTTTTCCCCCGGAACTATCCATAAAGCAAAGATAGCCTTGCCCCAACATTTATTCCAATCAGGTTTGATATAATGATTATATTTGCACATTGCCATCTTGACATAAATGGGTGCTTTAGAGTTAAAGTGGGAGCAGCAGGCACTGTGTCCAGCTTGCTATTTGCCTTAGAATGTAAAACCATTTCAGATATTTATGTTTTATATTTGTGTACATTTCTTAAGATTTAAAAGTGAACAGTTGTCATGCACCCGGTGTCAGATTTCTCTAAAAACTGTAATGTCTCTTCTGATCAGCTCACTTGGTTAGAAAATGGTGCTAATGAGGCCAAAGTCATGGTTTGGATCCCTCTGTGGGCCACTTAATTTTGCACAAAAAAAAAAAAAATGTTCCACAGCAACAGACTCTGCCCTTGACCCCAACCAGCTGACTCATAGCTATGTGCCATTATTCGTAATAGGAATTAGGAATATGTCGATGATTCAGTGCAAATCTATTACCACTACTCGAATAACAAATTCAAAGCATATTCTGGTTTAAGGAGCATTTATCTCCATATTTATAAGATAGCAAAATGTTGATGAAAAATTCAATAACTGCATTCTTTTATGGAGAAGCTTAGGTTGGGGAGGTATGGCAGGGTTCTGTCTGATGAAAGAAAATGGTTTTCCTTTCTGCTCTTGTGTTTTAGTGGATTGTTTGCATGACTACTTATCCAACTAAAGGGATGCTGTTTGCTCTGGAATGTTTCATCTTTTTTTCAAACAGGTTTTAGCTTCTTTGCAATCACAGTGCAATATCGTGTACTATTCATGTGTTTTCAGTCAACGGTTTATTTTTGTCATAATAAATAATTACTTTTTCAATATGAAGTGTCATTGTGTTGGTTTCTTTCATTGATAAAATTGAGAAATATTTAAATTCAATTGTATATACCTATTAAAAAATGAAACATGTTTCTTATACTTGATAGTCTAATAGTTCAGGGAATCGTTAATTAGGTTCCTTGAGTTAGAGTTTAGTTTTTTCAAATTCTCCCAGAACATCCTAACTTCCATTTATAGCTGCATTCTTAATCACATGGTGGCTGGGGAAAGTCTGGTTATCACCACGTTAGGAGCAGCAGAACAGATATATTTTGGGAAACACTATGTCTTGGTGCAACCTTCTTCATACCTTTGCAATGCAGTATCCATGTTCAGCTGGTTTTTTTGTTTCCATCTGAATTTCCTCCTTCCATCCCCTCCCCTCCCAAAAAAACAAAACAAAACAAAAAACAACAACAGGTTATTTGTAGGATTATCTGAAAGGACTTAAGAAGAAAAACAAAGAAGAGGTATTTATTGCTATTCATCATAGAGGGCAAAAAATAAAGTCCCCTTTTACCCCCCCACCCCCACCCCAAGGTGGTTTGTTGATAATTAAGTTCTCTCTATTCCCAGGCTGGATCATTGATCTTCCGACCCTTCTTATCCAAAGTATAGAAGATAGGTTGGGTATGTGGGAGTTGAACCGTCCCTCAAGCCACTTCCAGATCCTTTTAAGAATGAAACATATCAAATGAGAGAACCAATGCAAAGTGCTTTGCAAACCTTAAAGAATTCTATAAATACCAATTTCTTGTCTTTAGGACACCTCTGAAATCCAGACTGGCTTTAGAGGAAAAGCCCGCGTGGAGTAAGCTCCCTAGTGGTGCTTGCACTTGCTGAGGCTCCAACTAAGATATCCAGACTTCTCCAACTGCTTTTTCCTAGTTGTCCACAACACAGCCCTTGTAGCTTTCTATAGGATTTTGGCACTGCACCTATCCGTGCTCCTTTCGTTCAGTCCGTTGGAGTCCCCGACTTTTTACAAGTAGGTTCAATTAAGTTCTTTTCAACTTCGAACCTGAACTTACAAGTCTGAAGAATCCTTGATAGGAAATGATCTTCCAGGTATTTTTTCTTTGAGAATCAAATCATTTTTGGAGGGGAGAATGAAGACGTCCACAGGTCAACATTTAAGATTCATATCCCTAGATTTATATAGTGCAGATCAGCAGTATCTTCACTTTCCCTCTTGCATTCAGTCAGCTGCCAAATCTTTTTTATTCCTGCAACATCTCTTGTGTCAGTCCTCTCTTCTACTCAAACAGCCACCAGATACTCTAGTTCAAGTCTGCTTTAACTTCTCCAATTCATTCTCCGCACAGTTGCCAACTTGATATTCCTACAGTGCAAGTCTGACCAAGTCCGTAGCTCAGATAAGTGAAACAACAACAACTTTGGTAGCTATGTGTACCCTCTAGGATAAAACAAAAATTCTGATGCTTGGCATTTGAAGCCTT